GAGGTCATTGAGTATAGTGCTTAGGTCCTCCAGCGATTCTGCCATAAGGACTATATCGTCGGCAAATCGAAGGTGAGTGATGTACTCGCCATTGATGTTGATACCGTATCCTTTCCAGTCCAGAAGCTTGAAAACGTCTTCCAATGCAGCGGTGAAGAGTTTCGGGGATATGACGTCACCCTGTCTTACACCTCTCTGCAATTGGATAGGTTTCGTACTCTGGTTCTGTACTCGGATAGCCATCGTAGCCCTACTGTACAAGCACTTCAACACTTCGATATACCGACAGTCAACTTGGCACCGCTGAAGGGACTGCAGCACCGCCCAAATTTCGACGGAATCAAAGGCTTTCTCATAGTCCACATACGCCAGACATAGTGGCAAATTGTACTCTTCGGACTTCTGTACAATTTGCCGAAGGGTATGTATGTGGTCTATGGTGCTAAAGCCCTTTCGGAAACCGGCTTGTTCGGGAGGCTGGAAGTCGTCAAGTCTGCGCGCGAGACGATTCGTAATGACTCTCGAAAACAGCACGTATACGCGGCTCAGAAGGGAAATCGGTCTGTAGTTCTTCAAGAGAGCGTTGTCACCTTTCTTGAAGAACAAGACCACCGCACTTCTGCTCCACGCCTCCGGTGTAATGCCACCATGGAGGACGGAATTAAAGAGCTTCTGAAGGACTTCAAGTACCGGTCTTCCACCCATTTTCAGAAGCTCCGCTGTAATTCCATCCTCGCCTGGGGCCTTACCGTTTTTAAGGTGCTGGAGAGCCATTCTAATCTCGCTCAGACTGACGTCCGGGATATCTTCGGAATAGTGTCGGATGAGACTCGCTCTTGGATCGTTACTCACACTTGCGTGTGGCTCCAACGATGACGTGTACAGCTGCCCATAGAACCTCTCAATCTCACTCAAAATCTCAGGTGTCCCGGAAACGATGCTGCCACATTCTGTCTTCAGCTTTGACAGTTGGCTCTTTCTGGCAGACAGATCTCTGGCAAAGACTTTGGAGCCTTGGTTCCGCTCGATCGCTTCTTCAATACGAGCTGTATTGAAGTTGCGTAAGTCCCGCCGCATGCATTTGGAGATCTGTCTGTTCAGATGCCTGTATGCTGTCAAGTCTGTTGAAGAATGTAGCTTCATCTCCCGTCTAACAGCCATGAGATTAAGAGTGTGATCGGAGAGTTTTTGTGTTCTTCTGCGGCGGGTCTTGCAGAACTTAGCTTCGACCGCATGGACAGTTTCCACGAGCTTGTCATTCATATCGTCCACTTCATTGCAGTCTTCTAGGCACTGAAAACGGTTTTGTAACTCGAGCTGAAAGGTTTCGGGACTTTGGAACAGAGCACTAGGGGGACGGAGCGTTGACTTCATTAGACGAGGCCTCTCCAACTTAACGTTTAGGTTCAGTGTGCCTCTAACCATTCGGTGATCGCTACCAGTTTTCACCCTCGCGATCACGGAGACATCACTGAACAGTTGTCGTCTGGTCGTCATAATGAAGTCAATCTCATTTTTTGTCGAACCGTCGGGGCTCGACCAGGTCCACTTCCTGTGGGGCCGCTTTTGGAAGAAAGAGTTCATCATAAAGAGTCCCTCTTTCTCCATGAAGTCGGCCAGCTGCTGGCCCCTTGGGTTCCGTTGCCCTATTCCAAATTTCCCTACTTTCAGCTCACCGTTCTCTCTTGTGCCTTGTTTTGCATTGAAGTCTCCCATTAACACCGTATATTGGGTTTTGGAGGAATGCATGGCTCTAGAGATATTCTCATACATTTCCTCCACCTCCCCATCGGGGTGTGCCGAGGTTGGTGCGTAAACCTGTATGACCTTCAGCGAATACCGTTTGGTAATTCTGAGTATAAGGTACGCAACCCTCGTCGACACACTCCCGATCTTTACAACGTTGTTAACGAGAGACTTGTGGACGATAAATCCGACACCTCCTTGGGACAGATGGTCGCCCTCCCGGTGATAGAGCAAGTTGCCGGATTCGAGGATTACCGTGTCCTCCCCCTCTCTTCGGACTTCGGATAATCCTATAATATGCCAGCGCAACTTGTCTATCTCTTCTTCCAGCTCCACGATCTTCTCGTCAGTCCTCAGGGTGCGTGCGTTGTACGTTGCCAGGTCGAGTCGTCTAAGGTGGCAACCGAACCTCCACCGGAGATTCTTAGCACCCCCTGCCCCGCCGTTACCATGGTCGCCACCGTAGCCAGGAATAGCGGGGCCGCCGGGGACTGGGGGCCGTCTCTTTGCTACATTCATAGGGGGGTATTTGCCATAGTTGCCACGCTTGGCGAGCGGGTTGGCAACCGCAGTTTTTTTATTATAATTTTGGCTATTATCAGGAAGATGCTGCTGCCCATCTCCTGCCTGTTTCCCTTTGTCGCCTTTTACGACACCCACGGGAGGATATGGGGTAGTGGTATTCTTGACCGCCACTACACGGTAATCTATTGTTAAATAAATCTATTGTTATATCGAAAAGCATTTCAAATCTTCAACAACATTATCGATACTTTGATATCGAAACGGTAATATTCCTATAACGAGGTTATATTTATTAGCGTCACCTACTGGGGAATAGCTAAAATGTTGTCTTAATAAATGCTTAGCGTTGTTTTGCTATTTTTAGCTAGAGGGTGCCACACGCGCACTAGCTCAAAGTTTTTGTATATAAATGTTCCTAATGCCCGCTCTATAGTATACCTATATATTTAAATCTCTTTGATCCTAATTAATGTCAATATTTATCTTGATGAATCGATAGACTTGCCCACAAAACAAGAAGAGGAATGAAAATAAATGTTCGGTTTGCGTTTCAAAAATGTTATTTTATTTTGCCATTTGCCGAACAGATTACCTCCGTATTCTATAATTAGAAAAAAATGGTAAAGGGCGGGTTGGTTGGAATCCAAAGAAGAACTTATATATTTGCCGCAAATATTTCCTTCATAATCATAATCATAAATCATTTGTTTGCAAGAAATGTGGTTGATACGCAAGATGTTAAATGAATTTATAGCACAAGACATATTTCACCCTCATTACGGGCGTGCATATTATAGTAAATTTACAACAATTATTTGAATAAAATTACAATTATTAGAACTATTTGAATAAGACTTTATAAGAACTATTTGAATTACAATCTCTTAAATTTCAATTATTTGAATTACATTATTACAATTATATAAATTATTGAATTATTATAATAGACTAAGTCACAGGAAATAAAAGGAAGATCTGATATCTTAGTGGGCACCAAATCGGCAAGTGCTTGTATTCAAAAATTCTTTAATAGTATAGAAACTCTCCTGGATTAACCATGCTCGCAAGGCACAACAGAACCTTTTATATGGCAGGTCAGTCATTACTTTGGGCAAAGAGTTATATACTAGAGATGCCATATAGGCACAGTTTTTTTAAACAGTTTTAAGGGCACGTCGTTAATTTTTCGTTTAAATGTATTGTCGTTAGTGGCGAAGAGATGACTGTGGTATTTAACAAATTTAGCTGTTTCGTAGATGTGTATACAGGGAACAGTTAGTAGATTCTTAGATTAAAGGTCGGTTTACATGATTCCGACCAATCCATGCCGTACAGTGTCCGAATGATTTTTTCTGTGCTATAAACACCCTCGTGCTGTCACAGGAATTTCCCCAGACAACTATGCCATACCGTGTAATGGAGCAAATGTAAGCGTGATATACCATAATAGAGGTATGTCTGCTTGTCACGTCTTTTACCTTTCGAAGTGCAAAAACAAACTTATTTTATGCATAAATTATTAATATGTTCTTTCCATGAAAAATGTGTATCGAGAATAATGCCTAAGAATTTTGCGGTGTTTATCTGTTGTATAACTGAAATGTTGTAACTAATATTTAATTCCATGTTTTTACTCTTATAAGTTTTCAAGTTAATTAGTTTCGTTTTGTCAATGTTTATTTTTAATTTGTTTATGTTTAACCATTGGATAACATCTTCTAACGTTTTATATATTTCCGTCTCATAGGTATCTATATTTTTACAGCCCATAATGATTTATTTCTTTAGAAGTATAAAAGAAAATTTTGAATAAAACAATGTTAATAACATTAACAACAAAGGAGCCATTTCTGCATTATTTGTACTAGAAAGACGATCAGTCACGGATAGTTTTTTAGGAACTTCACCACACGTCAACCCCACGGACCGATAGTCTCTAGAACTGGTGGCACAAATATGTACTCATCTCTCAGATACTCATATTTCGGCTACTTAGTGCAGTTGCCTCTGATGCCGTCCCTGCTTTAAACTAGGTACCCCTGAGATGAGAGGCTGCTAAAGTGTCTTTACATGTAGTATCCCACACTAAAGCTTTATATCTCTCCCAAGCATCCAGTCTTACCGTCGGGTCTCCTGACATCGTCTCTAAATATTCTACAAAGCTCTAAAACCAAGGGAACAATTAAAGAGACACGAGCTCTTTAAATGGCATCGTTCAACGAACCATGACGGGACATTGCATTAAAGAATACCATATTGTTATTACACGGTTTGTATATATACCACATAGATACCACAGTCATCTCTTCGCCGCTAACGACAACACATTTAAACGAAAAATTAACGACGTGCCCTTAAAATGCCTGTGATAAATTTTATTTATAAAAATATACATCAGCCTAGGCTGTATGGCATAATACTTTTGCTGGCCTTAATTGATAAATCAACAATTTTAAAATTTCGAAATTCAAAATTCAAATTGTCAACGATTTATAAGTTTATTATCTACCTATAATATCGTATAGTTATCTACTCATTATTTCATTTATTTCAATTTATTTCGTATTCGTAAGATCGTAAGAGTTTGTGCTCATAGAAGTGAGTTTTATTGTTATAGACGTGGATATTAAAAAAAAAATTGCTAAATAAACTACTAGAACTGAATACATACCCTAGAGATTAAATTTTCATAGAAAATACTACGCAGAATAGAATATTATGGAAACATAATGGAAAGCCAGCGCTTGTTTTTGGTAGAAGAAAGAATGAAGACATTCAAGAACTGGCCATTCAGTGATAAAAATAAATGTAATGTGCGTAATATGGCAGAGGCTGGATTTTATTCAGTAGCTACTGGACCTGATGATGCCGATGCAGCCAAGTGTTTTCTTTGTGGTAAAGAGCTGGACGGTTGGGAAGCTAGTGACGATCCATGGGCAGAACACAAAAGTCATGCTGCTAAATGTGCTTTTGTACAAATTGGGAAGAATGAAGATGATTTATTGGTAATTTATCACTCCTTCAAATTATAAACATTCTTCTCTGAAGTGCAAGTTTATCGATTGCCAATTACATACTCAAAATTTATAAAAATCTGTTTAGAAACTAATTAATTTCTAACTAGACACATGGTAGTTGTGTTAGCCAAGAATATACTGGAGTAGATAATGAACTCATCAGCATTGTGTATATTTATTACTCAAAAACTATAAGTCTACATACTCGTAATTTTGCATGCCTAATAGGGTCTTGAATAGCTAAAATAGTAAATTTCATGAATAAACCTATTAAACTTCTTGAGTTCACTCACACTCATCAAATACCTATGCCACTTCTAGATCACACTTACACCACTTCAATATCATACAATACAATACAGTAACTATATTTTAGGCATCTAGGACTTAAAAATTAAGAACATTAATCCATAGCATTATATACCTTAACCTAAATCTTTATATATAAAAATTACGAGTCACGTTGTTTGTCTCTGTTGAACTCTTTAAACTATTGAACTGATTTCAATGAAATTTTGCACACTGTGTGCAGTTTGGTCTAACTTAAGAGATCGGATAGTTTTTATCCCAATAAATGACCCTCAATTTTTTATTACTAATCATCAGTTTTTATGGAAAGCAAATGGTCGTCGGAAAGGGCAAAAACTTTTTTATTAAACACTACCCCAGAGGGCAAGAATTTACAGTTTACATTATAAATTGGAAATTTGGCATCAAAGTAGATCATTAGATGTACACCAAGGAAAAATTTGAAAACTGCAAATTATTGGTTTTCATTCTTAACTGTACTTAGAACTAACATAGGAAAATTATTTAAAACTAACTGCAATAATAACATTAATTTGGTTCTTATAATTTTTATTAAAAGTAAAAAACAGTAAAGCATAAACATAAGAAAAAGCGTGAAGTTCATGCATTTATTTGGATTAATGAAAAGAAAACTTTTCCAAAATCAATGATATCCCATCAAAAAACACAAATATGAACTGGGCTTTTTATATATTTGATACAAAGGTTTTCAAGGTTGTCATCTTCGCCCATAAAAGATTTGGGATATGCACAGGCACCAACTTCCATAGTGTTATATATTTGATGAGTTCCTTATTCCTGTTTAAAAGTGCTTAATTAATCTTGTTTGTTAGTATGTAGTTTTCACATGCATACATGTATTCTCAGCTTTATACTATAGAGCTTTATGTGTTAGAGCCAAACTGCAGCTATATTAGTAATGTAGTTGTAGCATGAATGGGTCGGCTTGGCTGGAAGGACCACACTCTTAGAGAATACCAGTGTAAAATAGCAGGTTAACACTGCCGTGTTTCGTATGATGAGTGTAGAGAACCAGAGACCCATTTCACTGAAAAAGAGGCATTCCATCTTAGTACTCATGGGTGACAACGCAATCTGCATTTTGATTCTTTATTAAAGATAGAAGATGTAGATGTCTAAGAGTCATAGCAACCATTTACCATCAGGTGGACTGTGTGCTCATGTGTCACTCTATCCTATATAAAAAAGACAATTGTCTGTTCAAAAACAGTATTTCTGTAAGATATAATATGGATAATTTTCTGTAAGTATTTGTTATATTTTTGTTTACAGTTTTCAGAATTATTATCAATCATCAAACAATACATGATCAATAATATTAAAAGGACAGCTGAAGTAACTAAAGAGCAAATTGATGAGAAAGCAAAGGCGGTCCGAAGAAGATGCTTGGGAAGGAAATGTTAATTTGCCAATACATAAATTATAAAAAATGAGGGAAATCATGTTAATCAATTCGAATGATTGAAAATTGGCTGGATGAGATTAAAACAATAAACTAAATATTGATACATGATAATTTCTGATGTTAAATTAGGCTTACTTTAATATGACAACTTACTAAAATCTTTTATATCTACATTCTCTTTTATTTAGAACAAATAGCTGTCATTATATATTGGAAGTTTTATTTTTTTCAACATGTACTTAGTTTGTACGAGTACATTATGTTCGGAGAAGACACTGGCACCTGAGACAAAGATTCACCTAAATTAGGAGCCAGAGTTCACACATATTTGTATAAAATTATTGTTAAATCAAAACTATTAAGCCCGCTTTTCACTATGGGATATAATATAATATATATTATATCTCGAGATATAAATTAATATTGCTCACCATACATTTCATATGGAACCGTTTACACTGAGCTATAATATATATTACGTCTCAAGCTATAAATATTTTTTCGATCGACCGAGCGATATTTTCATATTATATTTCGCCCCCTGTACCCCGCACACCATTCCGCGCCCCCGCAGCACGGTGTACGGGGTAAAGGGGGGTAATCCAATGACCAATGACGAACGCACACTGGTTAAAAGATATATCTCACAGTGTGAAAGCCAATCGTGGGATTTTATATTTCGGGATATAATATATATTATATCCCATAGTGAAAAGCCAGCCTTATACGAGGGGTGATCCAAAAGTAATGACAATGAATATTACACATGATGATTATTGTTTAAAAAATAATTTATTTTTCTACATAGTCTCCTAAGAAGTCAATGAATTTAGTCCCATCTTTTTTTCTAAACCCAGAATTCCCCTAGAAAAAAAAATTTATCTTGACTTTTCATAAATGCTGTTGAAGCATTCATTAATTCACTATCGCCTGCAAATTTCTTGCCTCAAAGGTGTTCCTTGTGCCGGGGAAATAGAAGTCACTGGGAGCTAGATCTGTCTAATAATATTAGGGTGGGTGTTCAAGCAGTTCAAATCCCGTTTCTTGAATGGCAGCCGTCGCAACTGCAGCTTTGTGAGGCGGAGCGTTGCTTTGGTGAAACAGAACTCCAGCTCGCATTTTGCCACGTCTTTTTTCCTTAATAGCCTCCTGAAATCATCTTATTTGGCCTGCGTAGTAAGATCTCAAAATAATCGCTCCCTTTTCCTTAATAATTATATATGAATTATTTTATAATATAAAAATATTATTATTCCTTCACCGTCCCGAAAAACAGACGCCATAACCTTGCCAGGCGAACTTGACTCTTTGAATTTCTTCGGCGTCGGTGAGTAGGCTAATTTCCAAACCATTGGTCGTTTTTTAGATCAAAATGGTGGATCCAGATTTCGTCCACGATCACGAAACAACAAAATTTTTTTTCTGATGGATTCACCCTCGAACTCGACTCGTCTCTTTTTCTCGTCGGTTAACATTATCCGTAGATACCCAACGCGCAGAGGAGAGACCTTTTTTTATATGCAATTCGTTCGCAAGGAATCTTTGAACACTAAAACAAAATAGCGATCATGATGTCAATTCTATGCGATAAATACATGATACACTAAGATAATCATATGTGGATCCAGTTAAGCGTTTCACTAATTTAGTCAAGTGTGTGAACCCGGCCTAAGCTGTTTTACAGATTTCATCATAACAAGTCCACCGTTGAATGTAGGCCTCCCTCAAGGAATGCCACAAAGCATGGTTCTTAGACATCTCTTATCTTACCAGCTTGTCACTATCTAGTAGTGGGCCGCTTTCACCACAGGTTGTCAGTTATTCTTCAGCTTACTGATCCGTTGCGTTAAGTCGGTTACACGTTTTCTACTGCGGATATCCGTATTACGAAGTCTATTACGCAGAGAAACTGCGAGCATGGCCCTCTATAGCTCTCTGTGCGACCTTAAGCTTCTTCATACGGCTAGCAGTGAAGGCCAACGTCTCACATTCATATGTTATCACTGGCATCAGGCACCGATTGTACACTAATATTTTCAAGTTTTGAGGTAAATGTGTCGAGAAGATATGCGTAATTTCTTTCATATAAGTTGAATATACATAGTTGGACATGTTATCCTGGCCCAGGATAACATGTCCCAGGATTCCTGGGTAACTATACTCTTCAACAACTTCGAGCGTATAGTCTAAGAGCCAGTGAACAGCAGACTAAAGGACTCTTTAGTTTGACCGGCGGTTGGAGACGCTCGGGTGTGAAAAGTGTAAAAAATGACCGAAAAATACGTGAAAGTAATAAGTCTGCCGCTTTGATAATTTTTTTTATATTCTACTAAGCCAGCGCTTATTTACGATCCCACCTGATGGTATGTGGTAATGTAGCCTAAGATGGTGAAGCGCACTGACTTAACAAAATCCTATTCACTCTTGCCTTGAAGACACCCACACTGTAATCGGATGGAAAGACAGATGCTGGCAACTAATTCCACTCCTTTGCTGTACGCATGATGAACGACGTGGCGAACCGTATTCAATCTTCTTGAAGTATTCAATAAAAGTTATCGACAAATAACATTGGCAGACACGTATGGCGGTCCCAAGGTCATGGCAGACAGGTTGACAAGTACAATTTTTTCTTTATAATTTACGTTATTTCAATAAAGCTGCAATTTATATATTATGTTGTTGATAATGTTATTTGACATAATATATATTTTGCACGGCAGACATATATTGTGGTCCTATCACCCAGGCAGACATTAAAAACTTCAGTGGTGTCTATAAGTGCGTACTTATAGCACTCTCTCTAATCCAGTCCTTTTTTCTATTTTTATTTGGAGAAAGGGTCTAAGTTTTATTTTACTCTCACTCCCCGTTTACACTCCCGCGTGAGCGGCGAGGCGAGCCACGAGGTGCGAGTGTAAATGCTAGCTCGTGGCTCATCTCGCCACTCGCGGCGCTCGCGTCGGAGGCGGTTTTTTGGGCACGAGGCAAAGGGCCTCGTGAGGAACGCGAGCGTAGTGTTTACACTCGCGCTCTCATTTCAGTTTGTTTACGGCGCCCTTCCAAAATAATATTCGCATTGCTTTTGTTTTAAAATTACAATTTTAATAAAATAATATTATTTAATCTTGCACAAAAGGTTCAAATTTATATAAAATTATGAAACTGAAAAGTTTCTGTTTCGATGAATAGATATCATCCACCATATTCTTCCTTAACGACGTATTTTTTTAAATTTCCTTCTTTTTAAAATGGTCAAGCGTCGATAAATACTTATTAAGGCAAGCGGCATCTACCGCTATTATTTCGACTTCTTTCATCGTTGCTGGCTGGCTAAACGCAAATTGAACGCATCGCGTGATTGTAAACAGGCACTCGTTACCTCGCAACAACATGCGAGCTGCGAGGCGAGATACGAGGCGAGGCGCGAGGCGAGTCTAAACCCGATATTAGGTGATCAGAATAGGTAGTGCAATGGGGGCTAATAATTTTCTGCTCACCAGATGTCGCTAGTTGACACTGAGGTAAAGTTTTTTTTGTTACACAATGTAATGTAATTGAGAAGTTGTTTTTTAATAAAAGTATCAGTTTCTAGAGTACCTATTATATTAATACACAAAACTATGCGTCAGTGGTTTGCTTTAACTTTTGTTTAATTTTTCTACTTTTATGAATATCTGTGGTTTTGTTTATTTATTTTTAGTGTTATAAATATAAAATATAGCTAATAGTAGAGAAAGAAACAATACATTTTATATTTTCCAAACAAATTAACTTCCCCGCTATGAAATCTGTCAAATATTATACCTCACTTTCTAGTGGCGCCGCCCTGGTGGCAGAATGAGTCGTGGATGCCCCCATTTTATAGGATTTCGTGACGTTCGATATGCCTTTAACACCCACTTAGTTGGAATTTAATACTGTTACGAGCTTGGGGTTCGAGATAATTAAAAACTGCCGAGTGAATTACCAAAATTGACTATTTAATTACACAACACTAATTACAACTTAAAACCACACTAATAATAAAACACAGTTCGCCGTTATTTCGCTTCGAAGTATTCTCTTGTATCGCCCACCCGTCAGGGTACATGTGTTCTGTGATCGCCAATGCAATACTGCCCCGGTCGTGGTCTAAATCGGCCTTATATAGGGCCTCAGATAGTTTCTAGAACCTTTTACTGTAGCGACATCTAGAATGTTCGAGTACATATCGGTCCCGAAATTTCTGGAAGGATCTCGACTCTCCTAGTTCTGCTACTCGACACTAGAGGGCTCTAGTGTAACTAGTGTTGTCATGTACAAGACATTAATAGTGGCACGCAACACTTTCTTTTACTCGACACTAGAGGGCGCTAGTGTAACTAGTGTTGCCATGTACAAGACATTAATAGTGGCGCGCAACAATACGATTAATTTAATTCTTAAAAAAGTAAAAAACTACTTGGTAAATGTATTGTTTATTGTGGCGATGGTTGATCAGAGCGTAAAATTCATTGTTACTGTGTGCGAGAAAAAGAGACGAAATGATATTTAGTAAGTGTTGTCACTTTCTTTTCTATTGTCCCCTATAGGTACTATTGGGATTTTTGATTACTTACGTTCCTTGGTTCGTTGGTGCGTAAGTGGTGATTTTGTGGTGACTGGTTTATTTTGACGATCCTTCTGCTTGATCTTTTATTCACGACTATTTTGCCTAGTGTAAACTATGACGATTTGGATTGGTTTTGTTTGGACGAAGATCCCGGTAAGTTTTATTTTATTTTTCCAATAAGCTAAGGAGTAACTTAGGCTACTTTTATTAAAAAAAAAGAATAAGGGTTCGTGAAATATGAAAACCCATTTTTTTTTTGATAGATACCAACTAGACAAAGTCGCGAATAGCAGCTTGCTTAGCAAGAAATTAGCGCTGACTTTTTATAAATAAGTTTGTTAAATTTTACTGTTCTTTATTATTCTGGTAAAAAATATACGGACAAGTTAATCTTTTTTGGATGCA